GAGGGATAGGGGAGCTTGCGAAACGAGGGTCCATCTTTTATCTTATTTCTAATGAATTTTTCTCTATTTTTTTTCTGTCTAGTTGTGAATGTGACTGAGGATCATATCAGATCTTATAGGAAAAGCCTTGTGTGTATCTCATAATATGTGAAAATCGTTTCGTCACTGTGATTCTGTGGACAGCTTCATACTGGACCTGTTGTTGACCAGCAACAACGCGAGGATTGCTTACCTCAGGTAATTTCAAGTCGATCAGTTGTAGCTACCTCTTCTGACTCAATCAATTTTACCAAGTTCCTTTCCTGCAATATCTATCATCTTATCTAACTCTTCTTCTCTTTCTACGCACAATTGACTTGTCCTTCATTCCTTTCAATTCGTTCCTTAATATTCTTTCATTCTAAACTCAATCCTTTTGCTACCACCTCATTTCATACACTCACTTGAACCTAAGAAAGACAAAAAAACAAAAACAAAAAAAAGAAACGGCCATTTTACGCCGAGATAATAACACTACTGTACTGCACCACCACCGTCACACCTCTTTTCCATCATCGTCCAACAATCACGCTCAAACTCAAAGGGAACCACTACCTGCTAGGCCATCGGATCGGTCTCTTCCCGCTTCATCTTGACTCCCACTCTCCTTGGTTCTTTTTCAGAGCGTGGAGCCTCCTTTGTCCGCCCAGCCTTGGCTTTGCAGCTGAGTATTGGAACCTTTCCATTTTTGGTCTCACGACCCCTGCGATACTTTGGGCGGTACGTACTGCACTGCTTGGGCTTTGTTGCCAGGTCGTATCGTGACCTCCAGTGCAACTCTATTCAAGAGTGTCTTTCTCTTTCTCTCTCTTCTACCAGGGTGTCAGAGGGAGAGGAGTCGTTGACAAACTATCGACTGAGAACCACTCCGAGGAACAACATCGATGCTTCTACAGGAATCAACAATCCAATTTATCGACATTGCCTAGGTTACTCCCTAGAACTTTTCTCGTCCGTCGCTATTCCCAGGCCCTCTTGTCTTCTCAGGTCGGGCCAAATTTGGTTAGAGAGCTCATCGCTCGTCTTCGTTCTTCCTTCCTTGTTTCCCACCCCGGTCGCTGCTGCCGCCGCCCCTCCACTAGGGCCCGGGACTACCGTGCTAGGTACAGATACCTACCCAGCTCTTACCTGATTTGACCACTCTAGTCGCTACTTCTCTCACACCTTTTCCCTTCCCAAATCTCCCCTTCTCGACCTCGACCTCTTCAGTTGTTACGTATTCCTACCTCTACCTCAACCTCTGCCTCTACCTATTATTTCTCAATCACACCCCAACCTCCCCCTCCTAATCATCTCCACGATATCTATTTCGTTGGCTGGGAATTGTTCTTTCTCTTTTTCTTTTACCCTTGTGGTGATTTTTGGATCTGGGATTCTTTTCGTCTTGGGATAATTGGCATTGTTCACGTTTTGGGATCGCATTGTATCGTACCAACCATTCGCTTGTGTTGGCAGCTGGAAATCTACGAGGATTGCCAGAATTATTCATCGACAACCATTTGAGCCTCCCTCAGGAAGCTCTCGACTCATCACTGTCACCCACTGGTTATCAATAATCACCCCTATCGATAATTCTTTCATCTCGAACCAAACACGATACCCGATCATCGCGAATCTCTATCCCCATCTTCGAAAAGCCACCGATCTCCCGGTGATTCACATACAGCCTGCTTGGTCACTTCATTGTGCTACCTTGCTCAACTCGGATCACGATTGACGATACCGGCTGTCTTGCTCCGGCGTCGGGACATCTACCCACGCGAAATCACACCTGCCGGTGGTACTACACCTCTCGACGTCAGACGTGGTATGGATTCGACCATCTGAGAGTTCTCCCGCAACCGTGTCATGTTATGAAAAGCCTGCTTCATCTCTGTTGCACCCGACCTCACATGCTCTCTTGCTCAGTCTCTCTGGGTAAAGGTGTGTAACGGTCTCCTTTGCCGGAGCTCTCCTCACTTCCCTGCAACTGGGCATATTCTGACCTTAAACCTGACCTAGTTTTCTTGACCAAGTCATAATCATCATGTCTCCTCTTTTCAGACATGCCCAGCAGGCTGGCTTGCTCTTCTTGATAGCATCATCATGGGCGCCTCTAGCTGCTACCCTGAACATAGAATATTGTGCCGACTACAATACTGGCGAGACCCCCAGGAGTATGTAACCCCTTCGCATACAACAGCTTCCAGCCTCTGACCATGTTAATAGATACGAGCATTTATCAGACAAATGGCCTCTGCCATGATTTCTGTATCAATGACTGGGCGTATGCTATTACTCAAGACAAGCTATGCTGGTGTTCGAATTACGCACCTGTCAAGTCAACTCAAGTGGACGATTCCAAGTGCGATACTCCTTGCCCAGCATGGCCCGCTGAAGTCTGCGGTGGTGACGGAGTATACGGATATGTGTCTCTAGGCAACGTCGAGCCTTCCGGTTCAAGGGGCCCTTCCCCCTCATCAACCGAAGTAAGTCAAATCCTGTGACATGATCATGTTTCGTGTTGTGATCGCCGCATATGCCGTGATCGGACGAGTGTCTGCCTACCCAACTCTCCACCTGTACATCTCAGTCCATTTAAACCCTTCTGCGGTTGGTAAGATACCACGGCTTAACAGGCAACCACCAGGCAAAACCAACCACCGTGGCCGTATCCAGAGTGACTGAGACAATACAGAATACGGTGACTATAAAACCATCATCCATATCGACCTCCACGTCTACGTCGAGCTCGGAGCCAGAAACAACCTCAACTGTATGCCTTGTCTCAACACGAATGTTATCTCGCCTCGGGAATCTGGTGATGTAATAAAAAGGTTTAGGACAGACACTGACTACGTATTTAGACCGAAGATGAAACCTCAGTTACGAGCACAGCCGAGGATGAGTCAACTACATCTTCATCTAGCTCGCGCACCTCTGTTCTCCAGACTGTCACGGCTGGCGGTACTATCAGGACCGTCACTGTGGCAGCCCCGACGGAGACTGGTGGAACGACCGCAAGCGAAAACACAAATGGCTCGACTACCGAGAAGAGTGGACTTGGCACTGGCCAAGTTGTCGGTATCGTGGTAGGCGTGATTGCAGCCGTCATAGGTGCCGCCGCCCTCGCCCTATTCCTATGGTTCCGACGAAAGAAGCAACAGAACGAACAAGAAGCCTATCAGGACGACCCCAGTGTTCGAGATAGCTCCTCGGGCATTGCACGACCTGATATGAGCATGGCTGGATCCCCTATTGCATCAGCCGCGGCAGGAAGCCGTAACAGCACCTTGCAAGTCGATCCCCGAATGGATCCATTTAAGCAAGGATTGTACGTTCGAAGCGCAAGTCATGAGAGCATCAACACACTACGAGATGACCACGACTATTCAAGGAGGATTCAGGCACCCAAAGTCCTCCGTGCAACAAACCCCGATCCAACGCCCGAACCTTGACCGACAAGACATTCGGTAACCCCGGAAATTCCGCTGGGCTCTAAAGGCCATCTTTTATAAGATGAGACTACGATAAGAGGCAATGGTCTATCTGACCAAGAGCACGGCATCATGCTGCCTTCAGGGTACTTTCTCAACATGAATCCCTGGAGTCTAGCGGAATTTTCTGGGATGGACAATGAAAGATGTTCCAGACGAGCAGATAAAATGGTCTCCATGGCCCATGAAGCACACGAATCTCACATTCTCCCGGCTCACTTTTAAAACCCGAAGGGGTATTGTTGCATTTCGAGATACCAGGAAGGCGTTGGCATTTTACAAGGGGGATTACATACACAACGGGACATGGGACGAACGCCCCCAGCCACTGGCGGGATCATGGTATGGTACATATACGAGCGAGCCAAGTAGCTGCTGCTTCGCACAGCACTATTGGAAAGGTCATGCATGACGGCAGAAACCAACGCTTAATTTTCAATTCGGATTTTATACTTTATGGCATCACGGCAACGGCGACCTCGACCAAGCAATTATGGCACAATGGATGAGGGACAGCGACCTGTGGAGGGCGTGACAGAGTCGCCGAGTTTGAATGGCTTACGTGGGCGCTCAGTGTTGGGCTTCAAAGCCTGGATATAATATGCAGGTCGTCGTCAGTTTGGGGTCACTTTTACGTACATAGAGCCAGCATAAATGCATAGGGCGACGAGGTTGAGATAGCGGCCAAAAGTATCCTCTTCATTTCTTGGTCTGCAACCACTGCTTGTACTTTTCATCTCTGTGACACGAATGTGATGGCTCATGCGTTTCAAGACGCTCACTAAAGAACTCGTGATGCTTGACGGTGAAGTTATCCGCCTCTTTCTCCATCTCTACATCCAACTCGTCCCCTTTCGATCCCCGCCCTATCTATGGCTGAATTTGAAACGCGAGGTAACATGAATCGCCCGTGGTGTCAAGCTGTCCACAGCCCGAATAGAGAAGAATTGATGTTCGTTAGGCGTATAACGCCACATTTGACGTGGCCCACGAGTTTGCAACTTAGTCATGAAGACGCACTATAGAGAGCCATAGCGGAAAGTGGGAGTACCGTTGAAACTAACTAGTTTATGGCTGGAGACGACGGAGTCTAATAAGTTTGTGGATATCCTTGTGGCTCCAAGTGATGAGCCTAGAAGGCCAACGTTGTGGAACACTTTGTAGACAGGAATATTACTCAAGGAGGTTAGAGACGGTGAAGCACTAGATCAAGGATGGGCATGAAATGTAAAAGCGAATTCCTGTCTTTTAATCGTATCCCATTTGTAGGGTAGAATCTTGAGCACATAGATACATGATGATATATATACGGATCCAAGACTCATGGCAATCCAAATAAACTATGCTCTGAAGCTTCCAAAATGCTGAAGCGAATTCCAAATCAAGCAATCCCTATGTTCCGGTTATCCTGCACCCAAACACCCTGCAAACCAAAGAAACAAATCCACGCTCCGTGCAAAACCTTATGCATCTTTTCTCCTCTTACTACTGGAACCGTGTGGGACTCGGGCTATTCTCGCGACTTAGACTCTCGAAACTATCGACCATAGCCAAGACGCGTGTTCGAGCTCGTTCTCGTGTGAGGGGAACTGCTTGAGCCTCGAGAAGTACACCCGAGGAACGATCTGTTTCGTGTGAGAAGCGTGGCTCTAGTGGAGCCAGATCTGGGTGGAGGAAGCCGCCGACTGAGTTGTTTGAGTTGCCTCGTGTGTGCCGTCTTGAGTGGGAGGGGTGGCCAGGAGATGGTAGAGGGGAGGCAGAACGTGATGATGACGGTGAAGAATCCCGGGAGCTGCGCTGGAAGAGAGGTTGAGGTGGCTGGAGATGAGGGGGTTTCGTTTGTTGTAGTGTTTCTGGAGGAGGTTGCTGTTCTTGCGGTGTAGGTTGTGGTTGATCTCTCTTCGCAGACTCCTCATCCTTCTGTTGTGCTTGTCGAGATTGCTCTTCCGCGAGACGGTGTTCCTCAGCACGCTTCTCATCCGTCAGGCGCTGTCTCTCTTCCTCAAGACGACGCCTCTCATTCAGCTGCTCTTGATCATCCTGAACAAGAGGCTGCTTTTCATTAATCTCATCATCCCTCTTTGGTTGCGCCACTTGTCGAATGCCAGCATGTCCAAGTTCGCGTTCATCCCGCTTCTCACGAATACGGACACCTCCTGACGTCTGACTCTCGTTATCTGGATCAACAAACTCAGCCTTGTGCGGCTCCATTGGCACATCGTCCTCTCGATCGCTTCCCTCCTCGTTGCCATTAACAACTCTTAAGCGTTCTCGAGGGACAGTGAACATGACCTGTACCAATCGCTGCTCAACAGCCTTCTCGATATCCCAGTCAGACTCAGCTCCAGGTTCGGGTCCGGCCCCACCAGACATCATCGCACCATGCGAATCGCCTTCAACACCTTCCCAGTCCTGTCGACCTTTCTTCCTTCTAAGAAGCTCGCCACGTAGGCCAACCAGGCCGGGCTCGTAATCACCAGCCACGGGCTCTTGATCGAACGAACGGCGTATACCAGACATATCTTCGCGGGACGATGTTGGGGTGCTAGCCCCTGAAAACACTCGCCGAAGAGAGCCTAGCCACCCCCTACGTGGCTTTGACTTGGACGGCGACGAAGGCTCATCATCATCGTAGCGAGGACCTCGGTCTCCCATAAGTAACGAAGGACCCTCTGCTTGAAGAACACCAAATGACGAGCGGGCTGTGTTGTAACTACTAGACGACGAACTGCCTGGCTTAGGGTGCTCGGCACCAGCGGCTAGGAACGCGGGAGCGAGGGGGTTTAGTTGACGTGCTTTGGCCTTGATGCTTTCTGCTGCGCTCCGTGCTGACTCGGACAAGTTTGATCCGCTTCGTGATTCATCATCTCTCAGAGCAGCTGAACGGGTCGAGTTATGCCGCGTTGGTGAAGAATGACCCTGGCTGTGACCCACGCTTCCTTGGTTCTGGCTTCGACGGCTATTCATGCGCGCAAGCAAGCCTTCAGCGCTATCGAGGTTCTGTACATTCTGGTGTTGGCTTCGTCGACTGTTCATGCGTGCAAGCAGTCCTTCCGCAGCATCAACCTCAGTGACCCAATCTTGAACCTCTGGATCATGTCGTGGGCTCTCAGGGCTAGGTGTTGCCGAGGCTCTATTACCACCAGGAGTCAGGCAGATGGGGTGAGGAATATTATTCGGACCCACGCCTGCGACTGGAGTCTGGAAAGGATCTGAAGGAACCTCTGATGTAGGAGTCGGGACGTGATCGTAAAGGCCTCGGTTATGATAGGGTTCCTCTTCATCGTCCTCATAAATCGGATGAATTGGACCCGGGAAACTTGTTGGCCGTGGTCCCGTCGGTATATATCCTCCTCGTGACGGTCTTGCCATAGATTTGTGTGGGATGTGAAGTCCAGGATGACCGCTTCGAGCGCCCCTCATAGACTCGTAGCCTAGAGATCGCTCGCCAGCAGCATAAGGGCTTTCACCAGTACCATACCAAGGGGCACTGTCGAGCCCCCAAGGATCATTTTCCATCATCTCGGGGTATTCGTTGTTATAGTAGTTGGGATCTTGAGACAGCGCCCTGACAGCTTCCTCTCGGTTGCTGATATGCCGTTTGCGTCTCTTGTACCAACACAGAGCACCAATGATGATGCCTATCAGTGCAGCGATACCAAAGCCTAGACCAAGACCGAGGCCAAGGCGCTTTGAGTTTGATCCTTTGTCATCATCCTTGGGCGCGTCGTTATCATCATCCGATGAGCTAGAGGCGGGGTTTGTGTATTGGGATCCCCATGAACCTGACGTGATATTGTAGAAACGAAGTGTTCCAGATGAGGCTTGACGCTTCACTTTCCGCGAGGAAGAGCCCGAAGACTCCCACCCGCCATAGACCATGAGCATATTTCCTGGCAACACTGCAGCGCCATGGCCGTAGATCCCATTGAACTCAGGTTGTTCTTCAGGGATCTTCCACTGCCACCCGCTGTAGATCTCGCTCATCTCGAGAATGGCAAGTTGTGGTTCGGCGGGGGTGTTAACATCGCCAACCCACCCCCCTATAACAATGATAGAGCTTCCATCCTCGCTGAGTGTCGCAGTATGCCCAGAACGACTGTAGACATTATCAGCAGTGTTTGTGCTCCTGCGACGATTCTGAGAGCTCGTATCTTTCACAGCAAGGTCTGACTTTGGTGTATCAACGTTTGGAGCTTGAATATTGACATAACTCCACGACTCCGCGGGAAGATTCCAGACAGCGACTGTGCTCATGTTGATGAAGGCTGTCTTGGTATGTCCACCAAGAAGTACGTAACTCATCTGCTGCGTCACAATGCCAGATTTATTGGTCATTGAGGGCGTGAGACCAGTTAGAGTAAAGCCTGCAATGGGTGTTTTGGGTCCACCACTGGAGGCGACGCTCATCTCATACGAGGTAAAAGCATCGCTATCATGAGGTGCGAGTCTCAGCATCGATTTGGTGTAGTTGGCATTGCTCTGCCAGTTCGTCGCATCACTTCCAGACTCGGGTGTTTCGCACATTCCTCCATAAGTATAAAGAGTTGGCTGGTCCATGTCAGGAGCGAGGCTGGAGGAAAAGGCAACGGTGCCTCCGAGGAAATACGGTGCACGACGGGTGTCGCCGCCATTCTTGAGACCCCGACGAGACCACTCGCCTTGGCCGTTGCTATAGTCGAAGCTCCAGACATCTCCGCTACCAGATTCGCAGTCGCCGGCATAAACGAGTACAGAGCCATTCGCTGTTCTCGCAGCACCAAAGGCAGTGCTCTTGGAACTACCGTCGAGAAAAGGTAAGACAGTATCATTGCTTGCGGGCTCGAGGCTGACCTCATCCGCATCGATGCTCTTGGAAAAGTCGAGGGATTGAAATCCAACATTGCCCGAAGCTGTTTGTCGAAATATGTACGCTAGGTTCGAAGCACTACATGGAACGCTACCGTCGACGCATGTTGGATCGGGCATGAGAATCTCCGTGGGAACGTATGGGAAAGTTTGCGCGGCAGCAGGAGAGGCGAGAAGAAGTGTGCTGGCGCAGAGGAGGAGAGTAGTAGAGATTGTCATTTTGGGCATTGTTTGCGCAGGCCGACAGCTGCGGGTGATCGTTGGAGTCATTGCGGTTTCTGCGAAGTTGAGATGAGTCGCTAATTCAAAGGGCGCAGGCGAAGCAATCGCAGTCGCTTTTCCAAGCGTAGTTTTCTCGCGGACGATGATACTGAGCGCTCAGAGCATGGCCATCACCGTGTAGCTCGAAAGCTGGATGGTGTCTCGATTGCAGTTGTTCACTTCCCCCAACTTTCCTACTCTGAGTAAGTGTAGAGTCTGGGAATCTGCAGTGCGAAAGAGTCGTATGTGTTCTTTTGATCGACACGAAGGAATGTCCAAGGGTCTCTGCGCAATGTCTCGGTCTATGCGCACCTTGTTCAAGACTCTCAATATTGGCCAGACCTGCTAATAATGCTAATGCAAAGGCCTCAAGAACAGGCCACGAATGGGGTCGATGTCCAGGTTTAGATTGGATTGTAGGAGAGCAAGCAGAGAGTCAAGAGAGAGAAACTGAGCGGGAAGAAAGCGAGCACAGACACAGGCAGAGGCAGAGGCAGAGGCAGAGAAAGAAAGAGAAGGAGCAGGGATGAAGGGATCTCAGCAGCAAGGTAGGGAAGGTAAGGTAAGGGTAAGTGCATCCGGGATCCAATGTCAATATCGTACTATCTATCAATCAATCACACAAGCAAGGTTTGCGATTAGACCTATCTTGTCAAGACTCGGGCTCAAAATCAAGATCCTATTCGCGAGAGTGTGAATGACTTGCCGCTTTCTGCTTGACGAGGTGATTGTTGATGATCGTTGGCACGACAACAATAGCTTGTGGGACCATCACTCACATCAGAAGCTGATGGAGGGGCCCTCTTTAGATCCTTGTTGGCTACCTTACGGACGGGAACAAGGACATGGGTAGAGTGAAGAGGAGGCTATCACATGCGGAAGCGCCACAGCAAAAGACTACAGTACATGCAACATTCAACTGCTGATTTCTAATTGTTTATGTCTGCAGTGACTGTTCGTTGTGGCACAATAGCGATAACAACAAACTGCCTGATCAGTGCCTCCAATGCATTCAATATCCACGGCTTTAACGACAATGGCGGTTGTGGCTTCAATTGTGGCTGCCCCGGTAAAGTTTGGTAGGTGCTCTAGGCCTAATGCTAAGCCCATCCCATCAAGGAAATCCCTGTTTCGTCTATCAACTCACCCCAACAACCAAGCCATCTGCACTCGTAAGCCATCCCTCCCTCTCTCACTCTCTCTTTGTATGTCGGAATCGATCCCTTTGTTCTCCATATGTCACATGTCTCGGCTTTCAAGCTTACATTGTACTCTTTGTTCCCATGTTTCAGTTGTAACTAATAGGTCAGTTGTAAAAGCCTTGTCCATCTTGTAGCGAGTTGTAACCCTACTGCGGATTACAAGGTAAAGGTCATCCGGTGTGGAGAGATCGTACTACTTCTTGTTGCCCAATCAACTATCACGGAACTTTAAATCCCACGATAGAGAATATGGCGGACCAGATATATCTTGAACAAACTCCAAGTAAGCAATGGGCATTGCCAACCTTTAGTCTTCATCGTGAGGCGATATACCATACTTGATGCTCTTCGCTCGAAATAGATGTGATATCTTCATAATCTGTCTTGGTCCTACTCATTGATACCAGTCACCAACTCGCAAGCAATCCTCATTAGCATTAGAATTCGTTGACTGTATAACTAACTATCCGATGTAACAACCGTGTAGGGTGATAATATCAACACAATCGATAACATATCCAAATCCAATACTGTCGTGTTTTTCGGTTTCCCAATCCTCCATCATCTCCTTCCAACCACCCCCGCGTCTTCAAAGCAACACAGCCTGATAGCTGGCATGTGTTTGGGTATCAATCACACTATCGAAATCATGTCCACCTTTAGTAATAAATCTTCTCGCTCCAGATAGGAGGTCGTGCTCCCTCAGTGTCCCACTCGATATGGTTCTTGTCGTTGAGAGTGCAGCCCTCGTCTGAGATGGGGATCACCTTGCTTGTGTTGAGCACCTCCTGCTTGGAAATACCAGCGGGGTCGGCAGGGATCCAGAGAATAGGTGTTTCGCTAGTGACTGAAGGTGGGAAGTAAGCGTCTCGCTCGACCTCCTCAGGATACTCGAGTCCCATGTTACGCTCATGAGGTACCAACTGGCGCATGGTGGCGTAATCGGCGTAGACCCATGGCTTGAGCCACTTGGAGAAGAAGTTGCCCTTCTTCTGAACGCTATCAGTACCACCAGGCACGAACTTGCCAACACCATGACTCTTGCCAGCGCCGTTGGAAGCACCGTTGGAAGCGGCACCCTCTCCATTCTGGACTTGTCCATCCTCCAACTCTGAACCTTGCAGGCTTCGCTGAATTCGCTCCTCCTCAACCTCGAGAGAGCGAGGCAAGCTGTAGAGAAGGGGGTTGAGGGCCTTGGCGAGGGAGATGTGGAACAGGATGGTGAAGACGAGGAAGGCAGCCATCAAGACAGCAGGGCCGGCAGCCTTGGAGATGATGAACATGCCGACAAGGCAGACCTCGGCGAGGTAAACACCGACAAAGAGCTGCTTGAGGGCACGAGGGTAGATGAGACCTCTAGTATCGATCTTGGTCTCGGTGACAAACAGAATGTTGTAACGGTAGGCGAGGTAGAACAAGCCCATACCGATGGTAGACCAGAAGAGCATGACAGGTGCAATAACAGCGTAGACGATGCCTGAAAAAGGTTAGCTATGTTCAACGCATGAGTTCAGGGGTTACTCACTAATGACTGCGATGTTGGTGTAGACGGGCATGAGACTTCCCCAAGTGAGAGCACTAAGAGTAGTCCACTTGTTGTACATGGATCGTGGAGTGCTGGTCAGGAACTTGTACAAAAGGTTGAAAATGATGCATCCAACAACTTGAGTCAGGACGCCGACGGCGATGGTCAGACCCTGAACAATGAAGTAAGAGATATAGAAGTTGGAGGCGGTAGGGATGGAAGATGACAGCATGCTGAAGACCTGACTAGGTTCTTTAACGATTGTCGCGATTGACGAAACGAAACTGTTTGCCAGAGTCTGAACCAGGAAAACCTGGATAACCTGGAAAACGAAGTATGCGTTCTGGGTGAAGAGCTCGGCTTGAGAGATAGAAACACAACCAGCCTGCTTGGCACAGAGTCGCATGAAAACGGGAACCAGGGACATAAGAATGGAGAGAGCAACGGAAGGCAGAAGACCAGAGACAACACCTAGAATGACAGAAGGAATATCCTGGATCCAAGTAAGGCCAGGAAGAGTCTTGATAGTGTCGACCTGAGCAATAATACCAACGATGGCGACGGGGACAGCCCAGAAGATGATAAGAACGGCAATGATAGCGTAGACGACATATCGGCGAATGACAACCTGCCACCAGGGGAAGTTCAGGCTCTTCCAGACAATCTCGTCAGGCTTGACACCAATGAAACGAGGGGCCATGTGGAGGGCATGGTGGTGAGTGGTCGTCTGGAAAGCAGCCTGAGCATCAGATTGGGTGTAGAACTCGACGAACACGGCAGAGTGCTTCTCATAGTTGCCAGCGAGCCAGTCAGCCTGGGCATTGTCGGCCTTGGGAATGAGGGTCTTGAGTTCCTCACGGCCCCATTCAATAGTATCAACTTTCTTGCCGACAAGTCCCAGAGGGCCAGTACGGTGTGTAGGCCGCTTCTTAGGGGGAATAAAGCGGGCAGCGAGGTCTCCGGACTCGGGGTCAGATGGGGCAGAAGCAACCTTCTCGGCTTCAGTACCCGACTTCTTCATGGACTTGATGCGTTCCTTGTTGCAAAGCTTGAGGAGCTTGACCTCTCCCTTCTCGAGCTTCATGGCGGCGTCGTCGCGCTCCTCGATGATCTTGTCGAGGTCCTTGGTGTCACCGGGGATCCAGACATTCTTGACCGAGTCGTTGAAGAGGGTGCGAATGCGGGCCTCATCGAGATACTCCTTGGGAACAGAAGTGAAGAGAACGGTACGGGATGAGATGCGCTTGGCATACTGGGGGGTAAGAAGGAAAGCCTGTCGCACGCTAATATAGAAGATGCACTCGCGCATGATGGTGTACATAACAAAGCCATAAACAAGCCAGGCAATGAAGCAATGGGCGTAGAGCCTGTTCCTCTGGGTCGAATCATCAATGTTGACATTGGCGTATGAGAGAATCTCAAGCTGCTTCTTTCCGTTTCCGCCAGTGGCATTGACTGGGAAGAGAACAGGCCAGGTGAGGCAAAGACTCACGAAGCAGATGGTACAGCAGATGCGAAGGAATCGAATGAAGAGGTAGGCATCGAGACTCTGGTGCTGAAGAGCGTAGGCATCGGGAAGCTTCCAAAAAGCTCCAATCCAGTTGAACAAACCACTAGGTAGCGCGGGACTCCGTTCGCTGCGGAGGTGTTAGAGTTAATATTCAGAGTTCAGTGGTGCATTGAGACTTACTGTTCGCGCAAGGAGCCCAGATACGTCCTAGGCGCATAGAATCGCCTATTGGATTTACGAAAGACAAGGAAAACGAGGAGGTAGACCCCCGATACTATGAGGACGGGAACGAGAGTCGAAACCATGCCTGCGAATTGTTAGTTTGGCGTCGCATTATGAATTATTCGTTCATATACAACGTACCCGAAAGCGATTGAGGCTGCGTTCCTCTCGCACCGCCCGAGTTGCTCGTGTCGGGGGCGGGGAGGTTGTCCTCCAACCAACTGATGAAGTTTCCCATGATTGCAGTCCAGTTGCAGTATCTTGGACTACGTCAGGGGGTGGATGATCTGGTATAAGCCCTTGATTTAGGCGATTATAATCGGTTGCTGGTTCTCGACTCGATTAATTCGACGCGCAAAGTCGTCAAGGTTGTGAAGTGACGTTATTAGGAAGAAATTGAAGAAATTAAGTTGACACTTGGGCCGCGTCGTCCAGCTACAACTCAGCAAGGGAGGAACCTCAAGCTGTAGTGTTACCTTGACCCTTCCGTTGGCGGGGG